TATATATGTGTGTGTGTGTGTGTGTGTGTGTGTGTGTGTGTGTGCATACATACATTTGGTTGAACTTACCTTGCAGTGAATACTGTGAGGGAAAGGGGAGACAGACTTTTTGGTCCTAATTTGATGACGCTTTCCGTCAGGAATAAAAAGCCAGCAGAACTGAACCGCCTTGGAATCCCTTTAAATAGCTGCAAGCTGCCAAAAAGAAAAGAAAAAAAAAGGAAAACAAAGCACAGACACACACAGTGAGGAAATACCACAGCCAGTTGGTGCACAGATGTACAAGAACAGGAAGCTTTTATTACTCCTGTATCGTGCAGGTAGAGCTCATCTTTCTAACAACATCTGTAACAAAAAGTGACCGCTGCAGACAAAGAAAGAGAAGGAAACGTGCACACACACACACACACACATACACACACACACAAGCTCGCAGACATTTTTTCCTACCTGCTCCCTCCTCCTCGTGGCCCTGCCTCACTGCTTTTTTTTCTACTTGTTCCAACAAGGCTCCCTGTTTTTATCTTGACACCCAATATCCCTGCCTCTTGCATTCTCTTCCAGGCGGTGTGCACGGCTCTGCCCATTCCTCACCCTCCCTTCCCTCTGCACGCCATGTCCCCGTCTCCCTGGCAACCGATGATATCATTATAGCCCAGAGCTGGGAGGAAGGCCTCCAGCGAGGAGGGGAGTGTTTGCATTCGTGTGTGATTTTGACATGGGCGGTCGAGGGAGGAAGGTGAGCGTATGGAGCTGGGGGGAGGGGGCATTTAAACTTATTCTTTTTCCTTCTTTTTTTCTTTTTAAACTTCAGCTCTGACACGTGAATATTAACAAAGCTGTGGAAGAGCTGCAAACTTTGCCAGCAGTGTCACACCAGAAGCGCCACATTCGTGAGGCATCTGCAGCAAAACCACTGCAGATGTGCATCTCTACATGTGTGTGTGTGTGTGTGTGTGCGAGGATACCACTCCTATACCATAAAAGGAAGGAGAGGCTGCAACAGACCAGTCTCTGGTGACTCCCGGTTAGCTTGCACGAGCAGCAGAGACGTTAAGGAGATCAGACCGAGGGAAGGGGGGGGATTTGTGAAGCAACAAGGCACAGACGGACTGGAGGGAGGAGGAAAAAAAAAGAGAGAGTGTGTGAGAGAGAGAGAGAGAGAGAGAGAGAGAGAGAGAGCGACAGGAAGTCTGCCCTGCATGCAGGATTTAAATCAGACTCCAATTCACACCGAGAGAGGAATAGAGAGAGGGAGAGGATGTACAGTACGAGCCGAATATCAATCACATTTTCTAAAAATAACATCCCCGCAGCCCCGCTTTTTGCCTCTGCTCATTGCCCCCCCGCCCCCCTCTCCCAGCCAGAGTATGCTCCATAAAGCACAGCCCCTCTGAGGGGTGCTGGAATGTACCAAGGCAAGGTCAGTAACAACAGAGAGAGGAGGGGGGTGTCTTGGTTTGTTGCAAACAATACAAAATGTCCAGCTTTTTTGGAAACAAAGACTGTCAGATGTGAGCAAAGACAGTGTGTGTTTGTGTGTGTGAGAGACGTGCAGCTGCACTATGTGGCTAATGGTGTAACCTAGATGCAAACCCAGGTGGCGATCAACCAAAGGCACACCTGATGTTTATCTGATGACAGTCAATTCACGCCTCCGATCAGCTCATAAAAAAAAGGTGCAACGATTTCACCGATCGTCCCGTTAAAACTGGCAAATGTTTCGCTTCGGAGGCGATGAGGAGCCGAGCAGACGKGTCGGTGGACCTGTCACACACACTTCAGACGCCTTGGCTTTAAATGAAGGGTAATTGTTGCACTTACTACACACACAGACACACAAACACACACACACACAGGCTGATATTCGACGTTGTAATGGAACCACAACCTGAGTGTAACCGCAASAGTTCCCCTCTCACTGCATTCATCGGTTCACCATTTCTGCTCTCCAGCTTGCTGTTGTGCATCCCTGCACGTGAGCACGTAAGTGTGCGTGCGTGTGTGTGTGTGTGTGTGTGTGTGTGTGTGTGTGAGAGAGAGAGAGAGAGCTTCATGCATGAATGTGCAGCAGTCTGCAGACACACACTGCAGCATGTCCAGCCCAAGACAAACCATGATCAGGAAACACACAAAGATAAATAGGCAGAGAAAGATAAATATATTTTAAACACACACACATGCACACGCATACACACACACAAACACACACGTCCTCAGGTCTGCACAATGCATGCAGTACATTTCCATTCAGCCACAAAAGCACACCAGGTTCCTCCTCTGTAATCCTCCTTTACCTCTTTTTTTCTRTTTGTTTTGTTTTTGCTCTTTGCTCCACTCAGCCCCTCTCTCCTTCCCTTCTTTCCTCTCCTCGCCTCCTCTTCTCACCCGATCCTCTCCTCTGGCTCCTTTCTTCCCCTTCGCCTCCTCCTTCTTCTTCTCCTTCTTCTTCCTGTTTTGCACTCCGCTCTCTCTGTGTGATGCTGCTGGGGGCTTCTCTCTCATAGCTGCACAGTCTGATCCACGTGCAGGCGAGGGGACGGGGGAGGAGGAGCCAGGCGCTGGGGCTGAGCCAATGAGCAGCCTGGATCTCTCTCAGCCAGCGAGCAGGAGGAGGCAGGGGGCGGGGCGAACAGCAGACAGAGGGGCTGTGTGTGTGTGTGTGTGTGTGTGTGTGTTGGATCACAGCCAGTACAGTAGAGGAGATATTTTAAATCTCCCCTCAGCTGGAAAGAGATAAATAATATTTTGCATCTGATGCAGTCATTTCTCACTACTGGGCATCAGTTTCATTTAAACACAAGCTGCATAAATGAGCATCGTCTTGCTACATGAAGCAACTCCAGCTCCAATTTATCCTCAAATCCTCCTGAAACATCTATTTTTTCACCATATATGTATATTTTTGGCCAAATTTCCCTGCCTTTCTCTGCAGAGCAAAACATGAAAAATGGYTGAGCTCAAATGTCAAGTGAAGACATAAATAATAAGCAGCAGGGAGGAGGGGCCACAGCTCCTGGTTAGAGAGGGAGGGCCCGAATCTTTCTGTAGAACACACACAATGCAAAAGCACCCCCTCACTCCTCTGCTTCACTCTTCACTGGCCAATAACGAGCAGGAGGGTCTGCTGGGCAAGAGAGCACGGCGAGAGGCAGAGGAGCCAGACGTACAGAGGAGTGAAATGGTGGAGGCAGACTGGTGATATACAGTATACGTTATATTTAATTATTTGTTTTCTACCCCTCAAGTGCCATAGCAACAGCCCCTGAACAGCCTGAACTCTATTGGYCAATGCTCAACCTGACGTGGGGATTTGGACCAATCAGGAGGACTGAGCTGCAGCTTTAAGTAGAAACAGCTTCTCTGGTCAGAATAGCTGCTACATTACCGCCCCCTGGTGTCTGAACCCATACACTGCACCTTTCTGTTTGAGAAGCCTTTTTTATTTATTTATTTATTTTTTTTTGTTTTGGACTCACAAAAACACAAACACACATGCAGAGTATCTTTTCTCTTATGTAGTAATCTGCATACAAGCAGGACTTTGAGTTTTGAGTTGGAAAACTTAAAGAAAAATCAACAATTTAGTGTTTTAACCAACCTACACTGTAAAAAAATAAAACCTGAAAACTGACCAAGAGGTTGAATATGGACAAATTGCACCTGTTCAACAAAATGTTTTTATACTTAAAAGTTTTTAATTTGAAAAGTATTCTTGCCATGGAAGGGGAAAAGAAACGAAGTGCATACTGCCACCCTGTGGACAAAATSTGGTATTGCAGATCCTGAAAGTGCTGAAATTAAAACAGTTGTAATGCAAATACTACAGTGGTTCCCAAAGTTGAAGTCAAGACTTCACTGTGGGACATGAACCATTAAGTTTGGGGTCCTTTATGTAGGTAGATATGTATGGAAGCCCAATTCCGCCACTGAAAATAAACATTTTGTCAAATGGTATGTCAAAATTTTGACTTACAGGCCATAATGTCCTGGTTATTTCAAAGCACCCCAAAAAAATATTGGGCACCTCTGGATTACCTAAACAAACAGAGGCAGAAGAATATTTTCTTGGAAATTGCAGCTGAAGAACAAATGACTGTTGGCCACAAGTCAAAACTTTTTGACCGACTGAGAGCCAAGATATCAAGAAATAAGACTGATGATTATGAGCACGTGTTGAAACAGGAAAACTCCAGGAATGCTAAGAAGACTATCCAAAATGTTGAGCTAGGTTGGCTCGGTTGAACTTTCACTATTGAATTTTTTTTTTCAAGTAAGGGCAAAAAAAAAAAAAGTGTGGAGGGACAAAAAAAATACATGTGCCAAAAACCTGTAGAAAATACGAGTTTATAGAAGATGGTTTGGAGTTGAACTGTTGGGGCCTGGGCTTTGGGCCCCATAAGGGGCAAAGGGTCCCCAGAAGAAAGTATATTTGGGGAAAAAATGGGCATTACAAAGTAACATATGTTTTAATACTGAATGAATACTTTCTCTCTCTCTCTCTGTGGGGCAGCAGTGGGCAGTCTAGCTGGTCCTGCACTTGGTCTGAATTTCTAATTCTAATTGGTAAAAACGCTGACAGCTGAAAAATGTCTGTCGGCATAACTGCATCATCAGCCCCAGCTACATAAGTTATGATTGTCATAACTCAAGATTAGATCAGAGAGGCAAGCTGCTCCCAACAACGCTCAGTCACTCAAATTGACTTATTAGGGCAGTGAAGGATTGTAGCTCGAGCTAATCTGACAGTTTACATTTGCATGAGGCAAGCTTTAGCAGAGGGCAGCACAGCAAAGCACCACACGCTCCTACAGTTCACACCAACACACATTTTCTGTCCTTTATATTTCAGACCGTTTAGATCAATGGTYCCTTACAGTCTGTATCAGCTGAAAACTAACAACTAAAATGTGATTAGAATCTGTTAGCACTAGCATTTAGCTATTCAGTGTTTTTAATCAGTTAGAGTGAGGTTCAGTGAAAAGATTAGGAGCATTTAATATTTTACTTGTTACTCTTGAAACAACTTCAGTTTAAAAAATAGATTTAATATGTGACTGGACTGAGGGCTAGAGGACTAGTTTAAGTTGTGTCAATACCAAAATGAACTGCTCATCACCTCAAAACGACTCCCATGGTTAAAAAAAATCACATTCAAATTTTAGAAATCTATATATCACTGGTAGTTTTGCATAACATGGTTGTTTGTACAGAGTTTTTGAATTGTTWGCAAAAACACAAGTTAGCTGCAGCATTTCCAGTACAACCTGGGCAGTGTTTTATAAAGTACCTCAAAGTGATACTTGAGTAAAAGTACAAGCATCTTATCATAAAAATACTTTGGTAAAAGTTTAAAGTCTTCTCTAAAAATATTACTTGAGTAAAAGTCTTAAAGTATCAGAAYTTTTTTGTACTTAAGTATCAAAAGTAAATTTCTGACACAAATCTACTTAAGTATTAAAAGTAAAAGTACTGAGTAAAAGTGAGCAGTTAGATTTTCCAAAATGACATTTATTGGGAGGTGACTTCTCCAAAAATATTTTTGATGATGGTTTGTGTACAAGCTAATAGTGTGTCAGAATGGTATATATTTATACTTCTCATCCAACCACAATTAAATTCACTCTATCCAGGAGACAATTTATCAGGATAGTATTTTTTTAAGTAATAACAACTCAGAATAAAATAGGAGTAACGACTTTCTACTTCTTACCTTTTTAAAAAAGGTAGTGAGTAGAAAGTACAGATAATTGTGTAAAAATGTAATGAGTAAAAGTAAAAAGTACGCTGAAAAATAATTACTCAAGTAAAGTACAGATAACCAAAATTTCTACTTAAGTACAGTAACAAAGTATTTGTACTTAGTTACTTTACAACTCTGAACCTGAGGCACATATTTCTGCCAAAATAAGCATGAAATGTTAAACTGGCAGAAATATTAAAGTTTATAATTTATTATTTTTGACTTTGTAACATCAGTACATAAGTAGATATTTATGGATAGAACTTAACATGTAGAATACATATCCACACACATTTGCTGCCTGGTAGTCAAACTATTATGCTTTATCTCTTTTTACAACTGGCTTATCCACCACTCTCTCCCTGCAGTAGTATATCAACTCACCCTGACCACTGTGAGCCTTTTGTTCTTTGTTAATACGTAAGCTAAGGTTTGCATTTTACGATTATTCATGGAGCTCATTCTCGAGCTTGAAAACTACTCAGAACAGTTTGAAGTACATTGTTTAGTTCTTACAACACTGCTGRGGAGTTTTGTTGCCTTGATGGAATTGTTGAACCTCTTTACAATAATGTAATGCTAAGAAGATGCCTGACCTTCACAGGTCTGTAGGTTTACAACAGTTCATTGCTGCAGTGATGTGCACTTTCACGCCCTTGTGCACTCAAGGCTTGTCTTATGGGCCCATGTCATCTGGCTTTGCATATCAGCTGTGTAACATTTAAATCATAACTGCAAGTGCTTGTTTCGACACAAAGGCACGGTGCCAGGCTGCGAGGAGAAACCGCGGACATGAGGATGTTAACTCTGGTACTTYTTGCGCTCGCGATAAATTACCAGTCGCTGGCAACAGTGGTTCAGGATTTCAACCATGTGGAGCGGTGTAAGGACTCCCTGTACATGGGGACTCCACCACGGGGGTTTACAGACACCAAGCTGAAAAAGATCTGCCAACGCTACGCAGACAAACCTCGGTTCGTGACCCTGTATGATCCTCACAAGCGGATCCCAGTTTACTCRGCTTACACCTTCAAGAAAACCGAAGGAGACAGGCGTGTCGACTACCCTTGGATGTATGAACCACAGGTAGGAGTCTTTCAGGAATAATAGAGGTATTATGGAATTTGTTTGCCTAATTTTATAAGTATATCATAAAGTAGTTTGTAATGTGGTTAAAGACAGTCTTTATTCCACAAGTTTAGAGCTGAATGTTTTTCRTGTCTCTCCAGTTGGCAGAAGTTGATGGGAATGGGAACATGTCRCCTTTCCCCACTGGTTACCTCCACATGAAGTTTGAGGACAGCCAGGCCGTGCTGGATGACTATTCTGATGTTGTGCTTTACGAAAGAGGTCACCTGAACCCTGACCAGCACCAGTCCACACCACACGACCGCGCCGCCACCTACACCCTGACCAACGTGGTCCCAGAGATCCGGGAGTTCAACATCGGGCCGTGGCGCGAGTACGAGGAGCGGATCCGAGTGCGCCTCAACAACTTCTGCCGCGGCGTGGCCTACATCGTCACCGGGGTCACCACAAGGGGCAACATGATCCGCCGCAATAACCAGGACCGCGTGGCGGTCCCCGAAGACGTGTGGTCTGCATACTGCTGCACCGACTACGACCGCAACTCGCCCCATCCGATGCGCGTCCTCTTCCCATCCCATGCGGCCTTAGCCAAGAACGCCAAGGAGGCTGACAGTGTTCACGAGATGACGGTGCAAGAGCTCGAAATGTTCCTGAAAAACAACATGGATGTGGACCAGAACTTCCAGCTCTTCTATGACAACTGCATCTCTCCGTCACCGCTTCCTCTTTATCTGCAACACACCATCTGATTGGCTGCTTCATCTCACCATATGTCAGCAATGGGTTTATATTTACTATGACACATGTATGTGCTTAAAAAAGTTTAAATTTAAAGTTTTAGAATTACTGTTATTTTTCAGTACTTTACATTTGAAAGGGTTTACTTTACTGAGACAGAGATAAAATGCTGTTGTAYTGGAGGCCACAAAAATGAATTAACTTAATAAAACGTTAAAATCTGCTTGCCTTTCTTGTGTTTGTTACTCAAGCCATTGAGAATACTGAGCTTTCAGTAAACAGTATTTATTTTTGCAGGACCRTCATCGATCGGAGAAACCAAGATTTAAACAAACAAAAACTTRTTTCTTTTTAATAAAGCCCATGTTTCATTTAAATCTTTCTGCTCCCGTTGATTCTATTTAATTCTTCAGCAGATGTGAGTTTAACTGTTTTACCAGGTTTAAAACCTTAAAGTTGTTTTTAATAGATACACATCAAGCGGTAGCATCCATCCATCCATCCATCCATCCATCCATCCATCCATCCATCCATCCATCCATCCATCCATCCATNCCATCCATCCATCCATCCATCCATCCATCCATCCATCCATCCATCCATCCATCCATCCATCCATGCATCCATCATGTTAACCCGCTTCTTTCATGGTCACATGGGTCACTGCCCATATCCAGTCACTGTGTGAGGGTTGGGGTGCACCCTGGACAGGTTGCAAGTCCATCACAGGGCCTGAATCAGAAGCATCCTTCATTAATTATTTAATTTACAAGAACTGAAAGTTTCTGAATACCAAATTCACAAATTCACCACAAGTCTCGTTAATGTTTTTAGTACATTTCTAACAGAAGACAAGACCCAGACCAACCTAACATCTGCATTAGATTCTAAAAATACCACGAAAGGTAACATGTGATGGTAAAATCTTCGTTTCTGTGTTAGTGAGCAGTGAATTTTCTTCTTTTAAAGGTTCCTTCATGCTAGAAGCAGTAATTTTCCACTGCCTAGTCTATTTGTATTTGACTCTCACGCTGCCATCTAGTGTCAAAGCAGAGACAGTGTCTCCAGCTTGGTGTAAAACATTTTGTTAAGCAGCTGAACAAACACAGATCAGAGGACGGTCCTCATCATCAAACAGGTGCTGCCAAATTATTATAGGTTTCAGAGTTATTTGAATAGAAACGAGTGGAATGAAAGTCTGAGCTCATTTGTAATCAAGGACAACAGAATGTTTTTTTTTGAGAATCTTAATATTAGAAGTAAAATGTTCTACTCCTAGTTGCAGAAGATGGAGTAAGAAACTGATGAAATGATTGTCATCCAGATTTACTTACAAACCACATATTTTTTGTTAACTACTTCTAGAGCAGATCTAAACCATGATGATTATCATACTAAGATTAGAACTAAGTAATTTACATTAAAAACCCTCACATAAGGTTTTATGTCACTTGTTGGAGTCTCTTCAATTGCTACTCAGCAATTTATCATTAATCTTGTAGTTAGATACAAAACAGTTGCAAAAAACTCATTCCCAACATCAAATCACAAATTTTGCCCTCCTACAACGGTAGAAAATTATTCAGTCTTCAAACCTAATTTTAATCAAACATGTCTGAATAGGATAAATCATACTTGGTCCTAAGTGGATCAAGCTATAAGAAGACTTTAGTGACTATTAAATGCTAAAATTTGAGGAAAATAATTGCCCCAAAATTACACAAATAAACATTTCTGTCACTGTAGGAGAGGCAGGGGACACCAGCGCCACCTAACGTGAGGATAGAGGAACTGGTAAGTCCTAGAGAGCTGAAATTTGGGGCACTGGTAGATCTATCAAAGTCAAGAAAAAAAGTCTTGGAGGTATGCCCTAAAACCATCAGGGAGTCKGCCATTTTGGGTCAAAGGTCAAATTTCCTGGAACATTCCTAAGTCCATCACAGAGACACATAACACTAACCTGCTGAAGTGAGACAGGGTTGAGATGCCCACGTCACTTCTGGCACCTTTAGAATATTTTTAATTTGGGTGGGGTCYGCTGCAGATTCTGGGGTGCCACTAAACCCAGAACAGAATTTCAGATTTGTTATGTTGTCATGTTTAGGTTATTTGACAATTACAGAAGTAGGAGAGTTAGGGAATCACCTTCTGTTTTACATWGATCTATTATAGTTTTTATTATTTAGTTGCTATTTCTTTATTGAGAAAAGCTCTGTCACCACTCAGCTCATTGATTTTTTTTTCTTCTTAGTATTTTTTTTCTTCAGAACATCTTCAGCAAAATATTCTGATTCAAAAAAGAAAACTGGAACCAACTTGTCACMAACAGTCTCAGCCCAGCATTCTACTGGCTATATAAGAAAACATACATATCTCATTGTTTTATTGCTTCTTCTGCCCACATCATATCTGACCAATGTAAAAAYGATGGCAAATAATTTGTTTAAGAATGTCTTTTAATGTTTTCCAGTTCAGATACACAACATACAGTGTGTAATAGCCTCTATTTGAAATAGAAATATTAACTTTAGTTATTTCAACCCCGTCTTGCCTTTATTTACTCCCGCTGAACCTTGCGTCTTGAGCAGGTTACTGAATCAGACTAAATGAAACAGACAAACAGGTGCAAGCCTTCCACTTTAGCATCTGACATCAAATATTGTAAGAGATTTGAAGCTGAGTCACGCTTTGAGTTCTAAGCCAACAACAAACCTGTAGTGTAAACATGTAGACTTGGTGAGTGTGCTTCCATTATCTGTTGGCTGGTCCAAACCATTGTTTTTTAAAAGAGAAAGAGGAAAAAAGAAAGTATTTTGTAATGCGTATTTTTTTCCTTTTTTTTTTTTTTTTTACCTTGAAAGGTCGGGCAACTGAAACTCACAATCAGACAGCTGGGTCAATAGTCCCATAAACARGATGTGCAGGACAAAATTGCAAAAAGTTAGCAAAACAATCACCATGATTATAGTCTGGAATAAGAGTACAAATGATTTCACAAGCTTCCAGTCACATGGGTATACTGTATGCTCAAGACAATGTGATACAAAAACCATCAAATCCAACAGAGCCACAAATTGAATTCCTTGATTTGTGGCTTGTGTTTGAGCCGATCTGTAACCCTATCTCTTTGTTTTTGTTTTTTTTTTCATTTAGCTTCTTAAATCCGTCATTTCCTCTTTCTTCATCTCTTTCATCTTTGGCGTTTTCACCAATAAAAGAACTTGCTTCCATTCAGAAGCAGCCTTTCATGACGGATGGGACGGTGCCTAGTCAGTACAATATATTTTAGATGACYGTATGCAGTAAGAGCACGTTCGTCACAATATTTAGGCTACCCTGAGCCAGAAGCATTCCCCTTTTTCTGTGTGGTTACCTCATCCATGCTGTGATTTAAAAAAAAATGTTTTAGATACACCTTTTAAAATTTGATCTCTCGAGGTCAATTAAATAATCCAACTTTGTGCATGAAGTCATCTAAACTTGCACCTGTTGTCACAAAGAAAAGATCCGGCCAATCACTCGAACCAAACGACAAAACATAATATTTACAAATTTCAGTTTGTTTTCTTACATTAGAAAAAAAATGTACAGTTTGTTTTCTGCGTTTTTTTTTTAAAACTTTTTTTCTTCAATTTTTTGTCCTTGCATCTCGCTCTGGTTCAGCGTGGAGGATGGCAGTTCAATTGCCGTTCCTCCCAACACACGAGATGCAAGATGTAACAAAGAAGGRCTGGGGGAGAATTGAGACCATTCGCCTTGCTTTCATGGTACATGTAGTGAGTAATGTCTTTTAAATCGTTTATTTTTTTGTTCTTGAATGCATCCACTGTGCATTGACGAATCGCACAACGCTATCTCTGCATCTCCATCGTTGTCCTGATAATGTAATTTTTGTTGTCGTCGATATTGTCCAGAGTCCATCCCATCTGGGTGTGCAATTGTGCGAAAGACGTGACATTACAAGGCTCCATCGCTCATCTTTTGGCCATAAATATATGTTTTCCTTATCCTCCCGCCGTGCAGAAGCAGGAAGGGGTGTGTGTGTGAGGGGGACACGCCATGAGACAACAAAAGAACGGACGAAAAGATAACTGTCAAGCAGGTCCCCGAAACAATTGAAGTGTGTGGCTCACAAAATCCGGAGTATTTGTGTAAAATAGTCTTGTCTCTTTCTCTCTGTATTTATGTTTTTGTAACTCAAAAAGTGCAATCTTCAGGTGAGTCTGAGACAGTGACTGTGCAAACTCGACAGCTGTAAAAGAGAGAGAACAAAAAGCTAAAAGGGGGGAAATGAAAAGGGCTTTCATCAGTCTCCAGTACTGTAGATTTACGGCACAAGCCTCAGTGTTGGGGGGGCTGGGGCAAATAAAGAGCAAATATTTACTTTCTTTAATATAATCTTTACACAATAATAATCTATTAATACTTTCTGAAGTACCACAAAGTGCAGCAGATTTTAAAATAGAAACRGAAATCTTAAAATAAAAAAAAACTAAATTATGGATAAACAAAACAAAACAAGGCAAATCATCAAAATGACAAACTCTGCCCACACACTTTAAAAAATCATGCAACAAGCCCACACACAAAGTAGTTAATAAAACTTTATATTTTTTTTCTCTTTTAAATGAGGATATCTTAATTCTGATTTCTCTTTAAAGTAGAGACCAGCCACAGTGCAACATCAAGTGTAATTAAAAAATAAACAAAACAAAACAGAATAAAACTGTGTGTGGTGTATAAAAAAAAGATAAAGGGGTTGGCACTTTTTTTTTCATGGTAACTCCTTCTTGTTCGATACAGTCAGGATGGACCTCTGTAGGCGCTCCACTCCAGAGGAACGTTATCACAGTACTTGGCACCAAGAATGCTGGTAAAAACGAGATATCAGATTTTTTTTTTCATTCATATCCTTACAATTTATTAATAATACATCATATACATTAGTGTTTCTGTATAAAAGACTCTAAAAGGAAACAAAAGAAAAGAGTCTAGAAGTGTTTGTGAGAAAGAGAGAAACAGATTGTGTCAATGGTTTAATAAGAAAGAGAAGGAAACAAAAAAATGTAAGGCAGTRAGATGAAAGAAGCAGTTAAATGATTTGAGGTGGAGGATAGACAGAGAGAGATAATGAGAGAAACAAATAAAGTAATGAACATGATTAGAGCCTGTGAGGCACAGATGCAGCGAGCTCAAATGGGCAGCCTGGATTCCAGACTGCACCCTGAATGGGATTCAGTTYTTCTCTGAACTGGCCACCAGTTGGAGCCCCCAATCTGGAAATGTTTTCAGACCAGCAGCACTACGACGACAAATTAGGGAGAAAAAAGACCATATTCAAGGCATGGTTTCTCCAATTTGAAGTGGGGTTTTGTGGAAAAATGTTGAACACTAGATATCTGTGTCTTTGAACAACCTCAGATYAAAACAAACCAGCAGCAAGGCTAAAAACAGCAAAAACCAAAGTGAATGTCTGGTTTGTTAAAACAGCTCCAGGCTCCAAAATGCCATAGCAGTTTATGCAGACACTTATTTTCTGTTTAATAAACCTTTACATCAATATAAGTTTTACAATACAAACATAGCATCTACAATAAGTTTTTAGTTAAATGAGTTACAACAACACCTAATTTCCCTCTGGGATCAATAAAGTATTTTTGAATTGAATTTGAATTGAATTTGAATTGAATATTTACATGGAATTCTCTTGTTATTTGATAGTGCTAATAGCAGGCAGCCTGCTCCACTTTCAGTTGGAAAATCACAGTTTTTCTGCCAGAATAACAGTAATACAAAACCGATGGAGATCTAAAGGTTTATTAAAATGGATTCTGCATAAACCACTATAAATTTTTAAAGAGAAGAGTTGCTTTAAGATGGCAAAATACACCGGGCCCACTTGAGCTAGCCATTGTTAGCTTGTCACTCCTTATAAAATGATTTTGCCATCCTAAATCATCTTTAATTTTCAAAATTTATTGTTCATTCCCACACGTTTTTGTAAATCTGGATATATTGGCGTGACTTTCACATCACATGGACATTTACACAGAATTCTGTGACTATTTGAAAATTTTTAATAGCAGCTAGCTCTAGAACTTCTGGTCCTTGTCCACTTCCAGCAGGAAGTTCACAACACCCCTGCYGGAATAACTATGAAATGTAAAATTGACTGAGGTGTAAAGATTAACAAAACAGTGTGTGGATGTTAATTTTTAAAATTTAAAGAGTTGAGTTTTATGCTAAAATGCACTTTGAAAATAGATCCACTCAAGCTAGCCACTATTAGCTTGTCACATATTTTGACTGTTTAAATAAACTTTCATTTTCAAGTTTTTATTGCAATTAAGGGAAACTAATGCATAAATCTTTAGACCACTGTCAGTTTTACATTAAATTGTAATTTAGGCAGGATCAAATATATGTGTATATTTTTTGCTGAAAGTGCCTCAGGATTTACTGTAAGTTCTCCAGCTAACTGCTGCTATATTTGCTCTTGTGAAAAATAGGTAAATTCTACAAAAATAAATGTGGAATGCACATTATGCATGGCAGTGCAATGGTTTATAAAATAGCTTTTGCATCAATGAAAATATAAATAAAAATGATCTTGCCAGACTAGCCAGTCACAAATAAACTCTATTTATTCAAGCAGAGGTTGTTCAAAGAGCTATCTACAAGTAAGAAAATAACTTTTCAAGACTTTTCCAGAGAACACCACTTGAAAATGGCTTAAGTCTCCATTTCTGGTAGCATAAAACAACTGGAAACAAGCTCACACACTAGAGTTAAATTATCAAATTTTAACAATAAATTTATTCATGTCATCAAACAGTCTTTATTATTGTATTCCCAACCCTGCCAATACATTTTACACCAAACAATACCTTTTAAAATCACAATGAGTAGACAGCTGTTGCAACACAGTGCTCTCTACAGGGTGCCAAATTTCACTTCCAGATTGGGCCTTTAAAGCTGCAATTTGTAAGCTTCAAGAAATCAGCGCTTTATGACAGACAGCTTGTTGGGACATATGCTGCCTCATACAAAGCTGCTTGCTACTGTATCATCTTTTCACTAAATGAATGACAATTTGTGTTTGTATCCTTTGATAAACATGGTTTTACAAACACACACGCACGCACGCACGCACACAAAACCCCACATGCTCTAAACAACCAACTGATTATGACACCTCTTTGAGGGAGCTACAAAGTTCAAGCAGCGCATTTGGCGACTTTCCTAAGCACCAAATATTCGTTGAGCAAGAGCAGGAAAAAGCTGTATGTGCCAAGAATGACAAAAGAGCTTTTCAATTAAGTCCCCTTTGAGTTATGATTATAGCTTGGAGGTATTTCACTGCTTCAGATCTTACAAACTGCAGCTTTTTTGAGGGCTTGATGAGGAAAACAAGATAGGAAATAAAAAGAGCAGAGGTTGGTGAGAGTTGGTGAGATGGAGCAGTTTGTGTGGTGCGTCTTTGTGAGCCCAGAGATGGGTAGCAGAGCTTGTGCCTAGTCCTATACGCGGGTGGTGGAGTGTTGGTGTGGCAGAGCGTTGTTACTGTGGCTGGGGACGGGGGTAGAGGAAGGGGCCGGGACCGGGGGGTAAGTGTTAAAGGGGTGGAGCGGCTGAATGCTGCTGATGGTGCTGGGGATCATGGTTATGGTGTTGGCGGTCATCAGCGGCACATCCTCGGGTGCCCGCCGCAGGGCCAATGTGTAGTCGGGTGGGCAAACCGGGGGTCGCAGTGGTTCCAGGTCACCGTGAACACCACGGGAAGGCAGAGGCGTCCCGTGCTCAAGCTCCACCCTCTGCTGCTTCATCTGCAGTGACATTAGCTCCTCCTCCTGACTCAGAGCCAGGTCATTGTGTGGCGGGGCCCCCACTACACCCATGCCAACGCCGATGCCCATTGTGGTGCCACGTTGTGGTGAGAGCCGGCGATGACGCCTCTGCATGAGTTCGTGTCGCTTATCTCGTTTGTAGTAAAGCGCCGCAAAGGCCAGGACATTTAGGAAAAGAAGGGACGCACCAACAGCTACGGTCACGCTCAGCTCGGTGGAGTAGTCCCTTGTCTTGCTGGGGAAGGGAGGGTAGCCCGGTCTGTCTGAGCCAGGTTCAGGSTCAAGTTCTGGTGGGTAAGTGGAGATTATCGGGTGCTGGGTGGATCGGGTGCCAGAATAGGTGGGCTTCCGGCGGCCGGTGCCGGTGGGCAATCGAGTGGTGGCGGTGCTGATGGTTTGCAGGGTGTGAAGGTGCGGCACAAGCTCCAGCCAAAAAGCCACCTTGTTGGCACGGTAGTTATCTCTGACACGAGGCTTCAGGCCAATATGTAAATACTGCTTGTCTTTGGAACTGAATTTAGTCCAGATGACCTCCTCGAAACGGTTAGGCTTAGTGTGAATGAATGTTGTGTCCTGAGGAACAGGGAGGTTAGGATCCCTGGAAAAGAGAAAGAAGATAACCAAATGATTTTTATCATGGCCAGTCTTATTTGTTAAAGTTAGAGAATGTCTTGTTTGGGTGAAAATTAGGTTGTCGCTTTTTTCTGGTCTTTCTGTTTTCATTTTACAACAAAGAAGCTGAATTACCMAATRAGCAGTTTCAGAGCCAGCTTCAAGACAACCATTATTGGAGACAGAATTACCCACTTTTACAGTTAAAAGAAACAGAGAATCTTGCAAATATATGKTAATTTATTAATATTGTTTTAATTCACTATCAAACTGCTTGTGTGAAGCCATTGGGAATGGGAATGAACTTGGTATGAGTTGGCAGAGTCCCATTTCAAGGTATCACACGTCTTTGCTGAGCTGAAGAGTGGTGGGACTGACCTGTGAAAACCTGTTGATGTTAATATGTTACTTATCTGTTAGCAGACTTGAAGTTGTCAAAACCTAAATTAGCRGAAGCTTAATGATGTGCYAGTGGTTTTTAAAGTTAGTGAAACAATATTTTCACTATTAGCTAATTAGCAGYAAATATATACTGTACACATCTATGGTACTGTATTTAAATGTGACCTTTTACCTACCCTGTCTTTGCAAAGTTGGTCCAGTACGTCATGACTACAGCACTGAGCATGATGTCATTCTTGGAGAAGTTACAAGGAAAGAGGTCAGTGGCCCCCACCATGGGAATCCCAAACACGTAGGGGATTTCATCTCCATGGGCAGCRTCCGCCCACTCTGGCCTCGCTTCTGTTTGACAGTGGTGGTGGAAGGTATAGAAGTAAACGGGTGACTGGAACTCGGCGTGCAGTCTGGCAGTGGCAACAGCTGGGGCCACCCACTGGTGGTCCGTGAACAGAGCCAGGAGGGTCTTCCTACGCATGTCACTGTTGTCCCTGTCAGCCCAGTCTGTGTACATGAACTTTATCGTCTCCCTCAGGATATCTGTACCTTGGAAAAACCAAAAGAAAATAAGTGGCCTTACAATGATGGAGTGCATGGTAAAACTTTAAGATGACAAATATGAAATTGAAAGCTGCTTTTTTATTTTTGTTAAATATTGGTAAAACCATTAAAGAAAAGTAAGAGGTGTAAGAAGCTGCCAAACGCTTCTAATTATATCTAATTAATGGATCATCAGTAAGATTAAMCACCACTATAAAAGCAAATATCTTGTTTTTAAGTCCAGTCAAGATTTCTTATCAATTTGTCAAGGGTTAAAAGATTATTTTCAAATAATTTAAAGTATACTAAAGATTATTAAAAAGCAAGAAAAAAATATAGGATGACATCCAAGCTTCACGAAAGCTGATGTCCTGACAGGTTACTCCATTATGAAACTGTAATTCTCAAAATTACTCAAAATTTAACAATGTGATCTCAGACTCTACATGTCTCATTTATGTTAATTTGAATGATTATCAGCTGGAAAATGACTATATAGCTTGTTTAAGAAGATCGGCAGTGGAAAACCTCTTCTCAAACCGTAAAACCTACAAGCAAACTCCAACAACAGAGTTGACCACCCTACTGCRTGATCCATACTCTTCCATATACTAGACTTGGGCCAGTTTTTGGTTTCAAGGTATACCACAGTTTAGCATTAAATCCACTACATTTTCCCATCACACGGTTCCTGTGATTTAGCTTTGTTTTAGTATGACGACAGAGGACATGCCAGATTCTTTGATGATTTGGTCTTTAAATATTGAAACTGTGGCATTAAGATCTCTATACTATCACAGTCTCATACAGACCCATTTATGCTGTAAACCTTTATATTCTAAAGTCAAAGGTAAGGTCAACTTCTCAGACAGCCACATTCTTGCCACAGTATACTGACCCAAGAATAGTAGCAAAACTACAACAAAAGTGCAGGAAAAAAGTTGTTGCAATGAACCAGGAGGGATCACAAATTGGGAAAATTAAATTGTAGTTGGAACATAGAGTTGTGYCTAAGCAAAAGCAAGCAAAAAATATTTACTGAACAAGTTATGAAGAATTCAATGTTCTACTTCAACTTTTGCTGCATTCTGGCCTAAAGTTCTTGTTTGAAAATCTTACTTGTATTTCAAAAATCAACATCTTTGTGCTTTAAATGTAAAAAAAACACGTAAAGCTACAGATCATCTTTGGAGTAATCAGTTTAAAATAAAAAAAGGTTAGGATCTGACCATCAGGGTGTCCATACAGATTGTCCACAAAGTTAGAGATTGTGTAGTCAAATGAGGCAGCTGATATTCCATCTTCTCCCTCACTGTCATCCACAAACTTCAGGCCTTCTCCCTGGTTGACACCTAGCAAGATGTCATAGTTGAGAAACTCGCCCTGAGAGCAGAGGATAGAATGACATGACTGTTATGCTCACCGATAGAGGTATAAAATGAATTCTGGGATGAAACGTTGTATTGAACCGTGTTCATCAAAGTCATCAGTACCTGCTGCATGAGGATCTCTGGATCATCCGGCACCACGTCACCGTCTACCACTGGCCCAAAGGCGATATGGTAGCGTGCAGGTTGGATATCTTGATCCACCAGCTCCCGAAAACTCTTCCTCCGCAGACAGTCCACCAACTCAGCCATGTTGTCCAGCGTGCAGCCCACCTTCTTTGCCAGGATCTCTGTGTACACTGGAGGTCTGTAGTTGACTGACCAGCTGGAGATGGCTGAGCCGCTTTGAGCAATGGCCCTCTGGAACAGGCCTACACAAACCATGGCCACAGTTTAGTGTTTTTCTTCTTCTGTCACATTAGTATTATTGTTTTTTCTTTCTTTTTATTATTTTTTTGCTGCTAAGAGTTTTTTTTAAGTCCTTAAAGTACCTTAAATAATGCTCATCTCTGAGGAAGAATATAAGCACAAAGCAAAATAAAGTAGATCTCTTGCTGCTTTTAACGGCTGGAGAAAATCATTACGAACATTAGTGTGAGAAAATGGAGTGTTTTCCATTATGTATAGCGAGCGACAGCAGCGGGGAAAACAGCGACAACTCTGCACACAGCGGTGAGCTCGGAGGATAAAATGAAGAAGACAGAAAGAGAAGGAAAACTGTTCACACGGTTGCACCGCTGCTCTGTTATGTAAAAAAAAGGTTTGCTGTCCCTCTGTTTTATCTGCAGATTCTGTCATTAATAATTAAGCCCCCCACTCCCCCACCCTGTCTATATTCTGCATGAGCCCCACCCCCACTCCTCTCCCTGTGAAATCAATTAAGAAGCTTCTCAGCTGCAGCTCCATCTTTAGCTCTTCATCTTATCGCTCCTCAAACACATACAGCATGTACAAAAACTGTTCACGCAACTTTTTTCCATTACTTTTTGTCTTTTTCAGCCCACATTAAAAAATGTGACATATGAACTGTGACAACAGTAATCCTGACAAAAACAGTTTAATTTTTAACTTGATTGTAGAAAAAAAGTCTCGTTCTCATGACCTTGTCAGACTTTGTGGACCTCAGAGGTTTCTAAGCCTTGACCATCAGTTTCATGCTGTGGAAGAGACAGGATGAAGGTGAAAGGGTTCTCTGAAGACTCTCAACCACATCCTGCAGGCCTGACCGAGATGAGAGCAAGTGCTTCTTGATTTGCATTAACCAATTATTTTATTAGTGCATATGGAGGGCATGTATTGGTTGATGCATTGCAAGGTCCGGCCTGGCCCAGGTTGGCCCAGCCCAGCACTTCCCTGACTCTACACAGCCTTAATTGCTTTTGCMTGTGGGCAGGATTGTCGTGGAGAGTACCAGCAAGGACCATCAAGGCTCATGTTATGCCATATCAAGGCTCATTGATATTGCTTTGTGCTTATATTCTTCCTCATCAAGAATGATAAACAATATAAACAAGCTTATATTGTTTRTCATTCGTTCTGTCACCAAAAACAAGCTAAAAGAGAGCCAGAAAAAAACAACAACAAAAGATACATTCCAAATAGCAAAATTTGTCTGGTCCAGTTCTGGTCTACACAATGCATTAACAATTGGCCCAGATACAACAAAGAATGACAGCCCTTTGGTGGCCCAGATGTGGTTTGCTAGAGGTGGTCCATGCAYAGGCCWGYACTACATAAACCTTTGACAGATTTGGACCACTTTAACYAAAGCACAACTGGGCCAGTTGTGGCATGCCGTCTTAAAAAACAGTGGTATCATTCTTGCTATGGAGGTTTTAAGTCTGCTCAGAAACCTCTATGACCTCCCACTGTGTTCCCAATGCACCCATCAAGACCTCGCCAAGACCCTGCAAAGACCATACACTGTTCTGGTTAATGTTTCAGATCKTAGTCATTCAGTGTGATGGGAGCCTAATATATACTGTATATATATCTCAGGAATAACATGTTAATTAAAGTCTATACTTAGATATGTGTAATGAAACAGAGCTAAGATCCGCAACACCACCACAAACAAAAAAAATGTGCAAATGCTGCTTAATTTGTGACAGGTTGCTGCATTTTTTCCTGAATGATTTCTGAATCAGAACAGAAGATAAGCTTGTTCTCTTTGTTTCTTTCAGTGGAGATATAGTTTTGTTAAACCGTTCAGGGCCACTCTGACAGTGTGAAGGTCAACACCACAGCAATAACATAATCTGAATTCTTGGTAAAAATTTCATTGCTATTCTCTCTCTAACTGCTGTCAAATCAGGGGATTAGCCATCAAAAGTTCTAGTGGGTGTTTTCTGTAATGCAAAAAAAAGTTGTTTATTTGTTTCAAAAACATAAAAAGCCCTGACAGTTTTTGCTTCTACAGCTTGTAATTTCACTGACACTGAATATTGAGCCAACTAAAACTAGACATGGCTGTGGATACAGACAAACTACGTAAAKACTAACTTTAATGCTTCTTAAAAACAAAAATTTGTATTACAAATTTGAATTTACTTTGTTTTTCTTATCCCCACAAGCTCATATTTATACATACAACCCCATTAATGTTCGTTTAGTTGCACCAAGATCAAACACTTTGAGCCATCAAGTAACTTCTGCCCTAATTCCAATAGGATATTTGACCAGACTTTTAAGCTGCTCTAATGTTAACCAGGGTTGAAGGTGAAGCTTTGGGAAAACAACTATTTATGGATTTATCCAGTCAGTTTTATCCTGGCAAAAAACAAAACAGAAAAATTAGCCGTGGTTAATTGCAGCCACCAGTGAGAGATTATGGGCCTTGGCCTCGTGAAGGTTAACAACACCCTTCACTTGTTCAATCCTGGTCCTCGAGAGCMACTATCCTGTGTTTTTTTCTTGTTTGTTTGCTCCAACACTTGATTCAATAACTGAATCACCTGTTCATGTTCTGCAGATGCCTGTTAATCAACCATCCATTCAAAGCAGGTGTGTTGGAGCAGAGAAACTACTAAAACATGCAGCATATCAGCCCTCGAGGATCAGAATTGAACAACCCTGTCCTCCAGCATCACTTATTAGACAATTTAGATTATTATTTAGATTTTATATCTGAACTATCATATATAATTTTTACTCTTTGTGGATAAGAGAAAATCCATAGGGAGTTTATACTTGGGCAGAAAATTTTATCAATAACACCAAACAAACGTTGAAAGTATATTTATTGGCATTCCATTGGGAAAAAAATCAAATCAATAATTATGTTCATTATAAGTGTATGCAAACTTCTGACCCAAGCTGTATATATGCAGTTATCACTAAAATATATAATGTTCTTTGCTGAGGGAGTAAACATGTTTTCTTGTCTATAATATTTATATTTTTGCATAAATCAACTCCAGTCATGACCTTCCTTACGTCTGTAGTTTACATATATGAAAAAGAAAATACGTTTGTTTTTATTTTAATTAAGATATTATTATTATTATTATTATTATTATTATTATTATTATTATTATTATTATTATTATTATTATTATTATTTTACTTCACACAATGTTGCATTTTCAGAGACAGAAGTTTGTTGTCCTACTTTCTCTGTGGGTGCTATATCCAAGGTTCCTGAACATTTTCTATTTCAAAACAAACACACACAGACTGTTTTTACTTCATTTTCAGGCCCTGTTTGACACACATGAACAAATATTTATTGTAAATATTTACCAAGAGGCTTATTTAGACTCAGTAGGTCACTTTTGCCTAAATATTTGTGAGAAGATGGATGTTTTAGGTGTTGTAGTTCATCCAGATCGGTTTACTTTTCCCATAGATTAAAGTAAAGGTAAATGTTTGCATTTTTCTGCAGTGGATTTACTTTTGTTTACATGTGATATAAATATAATTATCAAATAACAGTATAGCTTGGAGTGTCCTCTATGTTTTATTTTTCCCTTCATTTTCTTTAGTCCATACTTAATSAGACCTGGACAACCCCTGAAAATAAACTTTTCCTGATTTGGCGGGAAATCTGCACATTTTCTCTGCATATTACGTGCATTGTGGTTTGTGTTGTTAAATGTGTTTGTGAGTCTCTGTAAAAAAATAAAATAAAAGAAAAAAATATAAGACTGTCTTCTGTGGACTAAACCAAACCCCTGAGTTAAATCTGCCTCACAATGACAGAAGGATAAGATTGAACTCAGATCTCTTCGTTTCATCTGAGCTAAAACTTTTAGGAGCCGCAGACTGACCTGATCCCCGGGGGGCTGCAAAACTTTCAGTGTTGCTATTTTTCTTCTTATAGGGCGTTAAATAGGTTTTTATTTTATTGTACTTTTCTAACTTGTCAGTATGAAATCTAAGCAACAAATGGAGGAACAATGTTTTCTGATTAATCAATATTATTGTAAATAAATATTGTTTAAATCCAAAATTGCCTCTTCTGCGCCTCTTCAGTCATCAGTCATCGATTTCTTACCAATTGATGCTGAAGGCGAGAGGGCAAGATGACAGAAAATGKTAAGCTAATGGTAGCTAATGTTAGCTCRTTGTTGTTTGGTAATTTGGTAAAACCAAATGTTGCAGTCACTGCAAACAATCAAATAAGTCAGATTTAGGTTAGCCTGGCCTAATTAGAACCACAGCTCTTGSGGTTCCAGAAATCGGGATGGACTTGGGCCATAAGGGCTAATGCAAACATGCTGAACCCGGGTTTGAACTCAGACTAGACCTAACGGTGCAAAAAGGCTATGAAAGAGCCGGTACCCTCAGAGTGATGGGAGAGGATGAGCAGGTTCACGCAGGCGGCACCAGCTCCGGAGCCAAAGATGGTGATTCTCTCTGGGTCTCCGCCGAAGTGGCCGATGTTCTCGTTGAGCCAGCGCAGAGCCTGGATCTGATCCAACAAGCCATAGTTTCCCTTCGCAGACTGGTCTCCTGTGCTCAGGAACCCTGCAGGATGAAAGCAGAACAAACCAAGAGAGAGAGAGAGAGAGAGAGAAAGGGCTGAGTAAGAATAGAGGAGTGAAACGATCACGTCCCATCATCGTCAGGAAACCTCTCACCCACCGGGGCTTGCAGCAAGTTGGTGGCGATTTCACAGGAAGGTAAGCCTGCACTGAAAAATGCGATGCGCTTAAGAGAAGTTGTGTGCGTTTAGAAGAGGAGGAGAAGGAGAGCAGCAGAAGGCATGTTTCACCTACTTCCCGGACCCACATTTCCACAGCAGGTGCACACCCACAACAAGATAAAATAAACTGAACATAATGCGTACACACAAGCAGAATGCTTTGTTCTTTGGAGAAAGTACATTACAGCACTTTACGTGGGTTCCAAGTTTTATTTATTTTTTTAATTTTTTGCGCTTCAAATGCAACTATAGCTTTTTTTAATTACCATTTGGACAAAAAAGATGTAAAATGATCCCAATAAGCTGCTCTCTCCGCACGTTTACGCCCCCCCTGTGACCCGGTACACAGCACAGCAGGTACACTCATGGATCCGCTTTTTAAAATTTGGCCCGGCTCAGAACCGCTCTAAAATATTTACGCTGCCACTTCCTGTGCATGTGCATTGTCACGGCGCTGACAATAACTGATACCGAGGGCGCGTTTACAGAAGACAGGTTTCAACGGTGATTTGGATCCGTTTTGTCCTCACTAAAAGCCTGAAGCTGTCTCATCTCGATTTAGGTTCGGGAGGAATGATTTGGCAGTAGTTCAGTGGAAAATAGAAATGTCTGTCCGAGTCAGTGTCCTTGGGGGAAACAGGGTGATGATGTCCTCACTTTGTCCTGCCAAGAACTTCTTCTCAGCTCTCGTTCCTTCCGCTACATTCTTGGCAGATGATGATTAATGAATAGAAGTATGTTTCTTTTTTTTTTCTCCTTGTATTTTGGTGGCACTAGTTATGGATAATTTAGACTCAGTGGCCTATAAAATGTAGAGGTCAGTTTTTTTTTTTTTTTTGTTGAAACTACGACTTGTACTGAATTACTCTAAAGACCTAAAAATCCTAGGAGGAAAGCACATCACCCACCGCCTTTCATACTTACTAGACTAAGATATATAGAAATAATGGAGCTAAGTCATGAAAAAGTGAAATGTAAGAAGATGTGTCAGAGATGACTCTCAGATACTACCRCATCAAATTCTAGCTCAGTATCTGTGAATTTGACCATTTTGTTTCGGTTTAAGTTAATCGTCCAATGGATACTTTCTAAATTAGATATTTTACTAACACACACACACATTGACACCAGCAGTTAAAGCTAAATCAATGTTCTCAGCTTGTCCTTGCCCTGAACAACATGGCTGATCTCTCCAACTATGAAAAGTCATGTGCTAGCACCTCCAGCTCAAACACCTRTTGGTCATGGCAAACCTTTTTGGAAAATACCGGTTATACATTTTGACCACCAGGAGTCATCAAAAACATGRCATATACATGTCTACTTATGTTAACATATATTTTGAAGTCTTAAATGGCACAAAATATTAATAAAATATAAGGAGATTGTTGAGTTTGTGGTGTGTGGTTATAAGTGTGAATCTAAAAGTACTTTTTTTTACATTTTTAATGCAATGTTTTCTTTCTTTAAGCACAGAATTTGGAATATTTCTTTGACTGAATCTATGTATAAATATTTGGACATTTTTATTATCAATGTTGGACTCAAAATTTGATTCATTAATTAGCTCAGTTATTGTTTAATCTGGATAATTATGTGGAAAAGCTCTAAAATCATCACTGAATAGCAGTTTTAAACTTTTTTTTTCTCACCCAAAATTCCAGTTTATATGCTAAGGAGAGGCAAAAAACAGCTGAAAATTGAGTAGTGTGGACAGGGCYTAAGTGATACATGGTATTTAAGGTAATATCACCCTAATTATCTTAAAATAGAAAAAAAAGGCAAAACTCTCCAAACATTTCAAGAAACCAGCAGACACTGATGTGATGAATTTGATGCCAACAATCTCTGATCTGTGTGATTTCATCGTGTAGAAAGTACCAAAGCAGAGGCCAGCAGTGGTAATAAATAWAACTGTATGCTTGTGAGCTTGTGTAGGCGTGTGAAGACAGGAGAAGACATAAAAAATTCTGTCTCTATGGAACTCGTGAGCTGTTTTTAAGTTAACCCCTGTCTCATCTTGTGTTATTTCTTTTTGACAGAATGTAGACAAGAAAGCTGTCTGAGGTCATCAGATGTCCGACAGCACAAAAAATAAAAAATAAAAAACAAATGGGAAAAAAACTGGACTGGTTTGAACTGGCTAACAATAAGGGTTTGATAAAAATTCCTTTAAAAACCTCTTTTTAAAGGAGAAAACTCCAAACTGCAGTATGAGACAGACTAAACTCTCCACAGGAAACATGAAACTGAAGCCCGTACTGATTTTATTCACTTGTTTTTCAGCCTCTTATTGTTGGTTGACTTTTATCTACAGAAAGAGAGGCAGAGAGGAGGTGGGGGCAGCCTGAGGTCAGTCAGGTTATCATAATGCCTATAAAAGCGGCACTGTTTCAAATAAATTACTGTAAGTGCAAAAACAGTGGGTCCATATAGGACTTCATTTGGGTCTTATTATGCAAAATCCACATTTTTAGCCATATATTTCAACCTGTTCAGGCTTTTTTTTTATTTTCTATGATGTTTTCTGGACTATTATGTTACAGTGTTTGTGACTGAATTGCCACATATGGTCTGGATTTACCAAATACAATTTGGTCTTCATTCTCCTTTRGTTCTGGGTCAGACTCTGGTTCCAAAATGTAAGGCTGGATGGACAAGTCTTCCCTCGTTGACATCTTTTAACTATGTTATAAATAAAACATTTCTGCACCGCTATATAGTCGTAAACCCCTCTATTAAACTAGAATGAACTCTTAACAGAACCCAACTTCATAATACCGTTACTATTGCTTTAATGTAGAGTACCAAAAAGTGTTCAAAAGCTTATTCTTTTATTCAAAAAAGGCACCTAGAATAGTTTATAATGTACAGAGAACACAAAAATATCTTGTGTCTTTAGTGCAGCACGGTTCAAATACTAAAATAATAGTTTTAAAATAAATAAATGAACTAAATATTGTGGTTGTGAGTCTAATATGAAATAATATTGTAGTATAAATACTGTGAATATTTAGACACCAATATACAGTATTTCTGATGTGTCATAAAACAATAAAAGAGAAGGAGAAGACATTGCCCTGGAAGTGAAGGGGAACTAAAGTGAATAAAACGCTGCAGAGTTCAGTGTGTTTCCTTGCGTGGGAATTAAAGATGACACAGATAGCCCAAGTGACTGAATTAAACAGTATGTTCTAAAGGGCAGCTGGGAAAATGTAGGCCAGCAGTGGAGTACAGTAACACAGGAACACATGGTGGAAATCAGCTCTCCTGAAGGACGGAGGACACAAGATTAGGTTCTGCTCTTTTACAAACAGCTCAACACTGGAAGCCCGGGAGCATTTTGTAAAAATAACCTGCTTAATATGTGACACTTGTGTTTGTCTGTCTGTTAGCAAAATATCTGATGAACCACTGGACAGATTTTAATGAAACTCAGAKRGTATTCGTTGGATGTTCTTTCACAGCTGATCATTATTTGAGAATGACTCAATTCAAGATGGCTGCCACAGCTAGTTGATATTAGGTACACATAAATGACGGCAGGCCAGTCAGTTTTGTGCATATGAAGCTAAAATTTTGTACGTGAGTAGCTGAGAGTGAAACCCATCACATGTTTGTAGTTCTAATAAATCAGACAAGATCTTTGTTTAAAACGTTGGCATTAACTGTTGGAGTCAACTCTGTCTGTCTGTTAGCTAAATATCTGATGAACCAGTTGCAAAATTGTAATGAAACTTTCAGAAAGGAATCACTGGATGTTCATGTACGACCTTAAACAAAATAGGAAATTAGGTGTGTTTGTTTACCTTAAAATGTGTTCGAAACCAGATAGAAAATACTGAAATATTTGAATGTGAAAAGAGATATGCAATACAACAGCATTGGGCTGGACCACTTTTTATTCTCTCTCCATGCATTCAGCCTCGATTCAGGAAACYAGGACAGTCTTATAACCATCTTCAGACCGACTCCACCTATTGTCATTGCATCATCAAAAAGGGCCACACTACAGCTGGAGTCAGGTCCTCATGCAAGTTTCCTGTTCTTATGTAAAAACAACACTTCAATTAAGTGTTGAACGTGTTTTCAGGCATGTATCTCTCTATATGGACCTTCTGCTCTGTGTAACCATCTTTGACAGCCACTCAGACCAGTCTGTACATAAAATCACCAGTTTAATCACAGAAACAATTWCACAATGGTTTATAAAACTGTATCATGTTTCACCGGAGGAAAAAATTATAAAATGTGTAGTGTTTTTTTTTTAAGAGTCAGAAGTAAGCAAACCCCAATGAATTTCTTCAGAACGATTAACACTTGGAGTCAACCTGATTCAAGATGTCTTTCAAAATTTATTCACTTTATTACTGGTTCACACATCAGGATTTGAAAATTATCTGCCAATTTTCAGACTGAGACCCCTCACATAACCACAAACAATTATAT